AGCATGTTCTTTGCGAGCAAGGATGGCACGACTTCCTCTCATGCACATTAAGAGAGACCAGTGAGTCTCTGGGGAAGGATCCTGGATGAGATGAATTAGTACAGTGGCTGTCACAATGGAGTCAAACTTCAGAAGCATTGTGAAGATGGTGCAAAGCCAGGCCGTTTCATTTTGCTGGGCATCGGGTCACTCTGACTTGCAGCTGACTCCAGGGGACCGAGCAACAGCAATATAGGGAACCAGTGTGAAGCTCCAGATTTCATCTTCCAAACCGGGAGCTCAACCTCCTGAGGTGCTGTTTTAATGAACAGCAAGGCCTGCAGCCTGGTGGGCAAGAATGCTGCGCTGATATTGCTGCTGACCAATCACTTATAGTCTGTACTGGCCACCAGGCGGCTCTCCTGATCTGAGGCTGATGTAGACAAACCGAGGCAGGAGAGGAAGCAAGTACGAGAGCAAGATGGCCCTATTCCTATAGAACAGTGGTTCTCCACCTTCCCAATGCTGCGCGCATACAGTTCCTCAAGTTGTGGTGACCCACAACCATAAAATTATTTTCGTTTCTATTTCATCACTGTCATTTGCTACTGTTATGAATCAGGTGACCCCTGTGAAAAGGTTGTTCGACCCCCAAAGGGGTCGTGACCCACAGGTTGAGAACCACTGCTACAGAAGATTTGCCAAGTGTGTTCGATTTACAGAGAAGAACACTATTCCTACTCATGACTTCTTAAACTATTCAAACTCAGGAAATCCATATTATTTTCATAATGTATACGAGATAGCAGTGACACCTGCCCAAACTTTGAATACTGATAGTAACCAAAGAGAATAAGTCTGTGACTTTGAACCAATACTTCTCCTCACTCGGCAGCTATCACATCATCTGACATTTTGCATTTATGACAATAAAAAAATTTACTGTACGGCTACTTTGCACATGAACAATATACGACCGGCAGTAACAAAACCATGATGTGAGGCAAGATGGTTAAGGTTATGTTTCCATTTGATGAGGCCATGGTTCTTAGTGATTTGGCAACAGTACAATGATGTAATTTGATAGTCAGGTTGAGATAGTTAAGATTTATTGTGTCAACCTGGCCGATAAAACATGTGGGATCAATTGAAGGGCGGAGAGATAAATGGCTTCATGAGTCTCGCCTTCCTAATTCTCGGGTCTCTTGCTTTCTGATGGTTGGACCCAGGTGCAGCTGCCTTACCCAGTTCCCTGCTTCAGCTGGCAAGGCTCACTTCCTGCAAGAAATCTCTGAGGAGAAGCCACATGGACCTACCCTGATGCTGGAGCAGCTGTGTGGAGACCCCTGTCAGTGCTGAGATGCTTACATGCTCACTGATTTGGCTTTCCTCCTGCAGTCAGCATCATTGCATGTGTTTTATGAGATTGAGGAGGACTTTGTGGATTGGTGTTGGACATATGGGCTAATGTTGGACTTATGGGCTTGGACAGCACTGGGTTGGGATGCTTTCTTAATGTACACTTACCCTTTATATAAAACTCTCTCATATACATAAGAGTTTCTGTAGATTTGTTTCCCTAGTTTACCCAGACTAACACACACATAATGATGTTATTTGACAGCTACATGATAATGTAATGCGGCAGGGATATAGTGGTGTAATGTGGTAGTTATGTAACAATGTCATCCTCCTGTTTTGTGATTTGCCTCCATTTTCACATAACATTGATTTTTGCATAATACCCTAGCCTTTGGAACTTAGTCATGTGGGTTAAGTGAAAAGTGGGTATAATAAGCTATTGCTATAAGAAGTATTAAGGCAAGGGGCATTTTGATATATACCTTTATACTTTTTAGTCATATGAAATCATTGGCTGCCAGACAACCAATTTCTGTCAGTTTCCAAAAGAACCTGAAATTAATGAGATGTTAAGCTATCAGTCTTCCAAATAGGATCGCTAAAATCTGTCTGTTCCTGGTTTAGATATTTTTCATGGTTAGAGAAACATCCTATTCATTCTCAAAGTGTTTGAATTAATCTTAAAAATTAGGTGGGTAAAGCAGAACCTGATAGTGCCCTTGGGTGAGAGGAGCTCCATTACTGCGTGGGATGTGCTATTCAGGAGCCGGTCAGTGAAGCCCAGAAGGGCCAAGCGGCCCCACCCCAATGTAGGCTTGCAGGTGCTGCCCCATGACCTCCTCCGAAGCCATGTCAAGATAGGAAGCTGAAAAATGATGGTGGCAACAAATGTACCAGTATGTTTTGATACAATTGATGTATGGAATGTTGTAAGAGCGCCCAATACACTAATTTAATTTTTTTAAAAAAGGTATGAAGGAAAACACACCTGAAAGAAAAGAAAATGGAAATTATTCTTTAAAAAAAAGCAGCCTCGATAAACAAGTGGCCATTTAGCTAAGAAGCAACAAAGGCCACATGGAAGAAGCACGTCAGTCTGTGTGATCATGAGGTGTCGATGGGATCAGGTATAAGGCATCTAAGACCCAGAATAAAACCATATCCAAGGTCAAGGGAGTGGGGGGAGGAATGGCGCCCCAATATCCATCTGCAGACAATTGGACATCCCCTCACAGAGGAGTCACAGCGAGGAGATGAACCAGTCAGGGTGCAGTATAGCACCGATGAAACACACAACTTTCCTGCAGTTCTTTGGTGCTTCCTTCCCCCCACTATCATGACCTCAATTTTACCTTACAAATCAGATTAGACAGAGCATGCACACTGCTACAGATAAGAGACTGAAATACAGGGACTCCACGAAAGATAAACTCCTCAGAGCCAACAATGAGAGTAGAGATACCAGGAGGATTAGGGACGGGTGGGAGGAGAAAGGAGGAATCGATCACAAGGATAAACCTAGAACCTCCTCACAGAGGGACGAATAATGGAAAGTGGGTGAGGGGCGATGGAGGACGATGTAAGATACGGAAAAAATCATCTATAACTGATCAAGGGTTCGTGAGGGAGGGAGGGCGAGGGAGGGAGGAGGAAGAAATGGGAAGCTGATATCAGGGGCTCAAGTGGGAAGAGAATGCTTTGAAAAGGATGATGGCGGCATATGTGCAAATGTGCTTGACACACTGGAGGAATGCATGGATTGTGATAAGAGATGTAAGAGCCCCAATGAAAGTAAAAAAAATTTTTTTAATGCAGCCTAAGGATGAAACATTCAAAGGAAACACATGACAAAGCAATACTTAGGATCAATAATAATTAACTAATGCTTATTGACCATGAATGTGTAGGTTGAAAGTGATAGATTCGGATTTCAAAATGTCTTATCATCTGAAAAGAAGAAGAACTTAAGGACCAGAGGAAGTTCTTTCCTTCTCACATAAAGGAAGAGAAAGGGGATGAGAAGGGGCAAACCCATTCAGCTTCTATCAAAGTGACCCTCAGAAAGAGCAAGCAAGACCAGTGGTGGACGCAAGGGGTGGGAAGTCTGTTCCTATAAATGCCGTGGCTACGGAATGGGACATTCTCGGCTGGGGCTGAAGAATTCTGAGGACTCCTCTTTGGCCAGAGGTCACAATCCTTTATGATGATTTGCAGCTACAGATGTGCATGGAAGCTGCATGAGCAGAAGGTGGCCGAGATGACAGCCTTGGAAGGATGTCAGTTGTGCACCACGCTGTAGTTGTGGGGAAGAAGGGGGTCCCCCTGAAAAAGAGAACGCCTGGCACCACACCTGGGCATGGTATTCTACTCCCCAGGAGGGAAAGCCCTAGCAAACAGGGGTGCTGAGACCCAGGGACGGGCAGGTCCACGCAGTGAACCGCAGTCACCCCTCACATTTGGAAAGAGTATTGATGGGTGCAGCCCCAGGCCATCTCGCCAGCACCAGAAGAGAACCACAGTCACCTGAGCCACAGCCAGGCCTCGCTGTCCGTGTGCGCCTTCACGTACACGGGATGCCACCTGGTAGGGGTTTGGTTGTTATTTGTTGTTTCTCCCAGTGTACCAATTTAGTACCCAAGCAAACATTTTAAAAAACACACAAAAACTTAGGAATTTAAAAAAAAACAATAATCACCTAAATTATCAGTAATCCCTAAAATGTGTAAAATATCTCTATTTTCATCTAAGTAACATATGTCACAGTAATGTAACCAAAAGAAAACGTTTGCTGGCACTAACCAGATCATTTATTTTAACAAATGCCCCTGGCAACAGCTAACAGTTCGTTACCTCATCCCTCAGGCACCACAGTGAGCACTACCTCCATTGCTTTACTTACCCTTTCACAGCAACACTGTGAAGTAGGTCCCTCCTTTAGAAAGGAGAAAGTTAAAGTTTAGAAGGGTAAGGAGCATGCCCCAGTGTGGTGGACGTGTGCCACTTTGCCTCTCCAGCATCCTTTCGCTGTCTCTTGACAAGTGGGTCCTGACTTCACTGGAAGGAACACATTCTGTCCCCTTCAAAACCCCAAACGCACGGCCACTGAGTTAGTGCTGAGTCATATCAATCCCCGGCGGGCTCAGAACTGCCGATCGTGCGGGTCGCAGCGCAACTCATAATCACTACACCTCCAGCGATCACAAATTTCATTTTCCTAGTCACAGTGATGGGCCATATGCCATACAAATATTTTTATAAAGAAACACAAAGCAGGTCATCTACCATACAAATATTTTTACCTTTGTAACTATAAAAATCTATAGTCTGGTTGATCATCAGAAGTGATCAAATGTACCCAGGCACAAATGCCCTATTTAGCTCACCTGAAGGAACAAACGAATGGCTACTAACTCTTAATTTATAGCTAAACAAATCATCCATTTCTTCAGTCAGTCATCCTATCAGAAGTTTCTCCATGTGACATTGGTACACACATTAAAAAAATAAGACTCAGTAAATTATGAGCAACCATGTCAACATAATTTGCAGATTATTGATTCGTATTAATAAGTCATTGACTATAGAGACTCTCCATGGAATCGTGGGATCTGTCTATCATGTTAACTCTCCCTCTAGCCCAAAGCATACAAGAAAAGTACCTGCTTTGAGATTAAATCCCTTTGCGGTTGAATTTACAATTACATCTGCATCTTCGTTGGCGATATCGCCAGAGGCCACCTGGAAGATGATGGGACCAATATTCATCTCGTGCATTCCTGTTTGGGGGCTAGTCACAGCCCCATATAAGCCTGAGAAGGAAAAGAAATTGGAGTCAATAGCCAAGTCATCAATAATAAGAATGACTGATGTCTCATGGGCCTTCAGTCCATCTGTCCGCTAACCTCTCTCAGTTAGCAATGGTCGTAACCGTGGCCTTGGCCCTGAGCTCTAATTTTCTCTATTTTTATTATTATATTTTTCTTACATTTGTGTTATCTTACATTTAAAGGTTTTTTTACATTTAAAATTTTTTTACATTTAAAGTTTTTACAGCAGTTTTATTGAGATACAATTCACCTACCATACAACTCGATGCCTATTTTAAGAGAATTATGCAATCATCACCACAATCAATTTTAGAACATTTTCTTCAGTTTTGTACTCATTGTTATTAGCTCTCCATTCACACACCCCTAATAGACATCCTTCCCTGCTATCACTCTGAAAATTACTAATTTAGTTACTGTCTCTATAGATTTACTTGTCCTGGATTTCCTATAAAGAAAATAATACAACGGGGGACAACACCAGGAACACAGTGTGGGAATTGCGCCTGATCTGACCCCGCCATGCCGAGGCAAGGCACTGGGGG